CCGACGGAACGTTGTCCGTCTGATCCGCGACCCCCTCGCCCCCCCACATGCCCCCGTATCGTCTTTTTCTCTATCGCGTCGATATTACTCTCGCTCGCCGTGCGTCGCGCGCGGGCTGTTTCGAAGAATAACTAGCCTTCAAGGTTCTCGTTACGGAATAGTACGCAGATGTGGCGCTTACGACCAAAGAGTTATCGATAAGGCGCGCCCGATCCGCGGCCGGTTCCGTACGAAGCACGAAAAAAAGGGCTATAAAAAAAGGGTTCGTCCGTTCCACGCGAACGCGACCGACCACGTCAACCACGAAACAAACACATTATACTTACAAACAAGCATGGACGTTTGAGCAATAAAACGTTTGTACATTCTCTTTTTAATCGAACGCGACACATGGTAATCCCTCTCTCTTGGCCCAGCTCGGTCGGTGAAACGAAACGTTTCGAATTTAGCGTACTCTCTCTCTTTCTCTCTCTCTCTCTCTCTCTCTCTCTCTCTCTCTTTCTTTCTCTCTGTAACTTAGGGGTGCGTCTGCGGATCAACCCTCCGTAACCGCGTCATCCGTGACCAAAGGATTGCGTCTACGTTGCGCCAATTATAGTCTGCGGGTCGCCAATTATAGTACTAATTAATAGTACTATATTAATATACTATATTATAATATATACTGTATAATATATATTATAATTAATTATATACTATAATATATATATTATAGTACTAATTAATAGTACTATATTAATATATTATATTAATATACTATATTATAATATATACTATATAATATACTATATTAATATATTATATTAATATACTATATTATAATATATACTATATAATATACTATATTAATATATAGTACTAATTACTCCTAAATAGAGCTCTCGGTACACGGGGCGGTAAAAGTATATATTTCCACGAAATAAAGTATCTGTAATGTCTCCCTAATTGACGCTCGGATTGTACAACGAAAATGGACAATTTGGGAAGACGAGATACGATTGGTCGAGCCTCGCGGCTCGCTTTTATAAGACTTTCAACAATTATAAAAACGAGGTGCACAATTCGAATAATTGTATCACCTTTCCCCGAATTGTCCATTTTTCTTTCCAAGCTGAGCGTCAAGTGGAGAGAATTTACTGTATCTGTAACAATTCTCTTAAATACAGTAATGTCTCCCTAATTGACGCTCGGATTGTACAACGAAAATAGACAATTTGGGAAGAGGAGATACGATTATTCGAGCCTTGCGGTTTATTTTTATAGTTATAAATTGTCCACAATTATAAAAACGAGCTGCAAGGCTCGAATAATCGTATCTCCTCTTCCCAAATTATCCAATTTAGTGGACAATCTGAGCGTCAGTAAGGGAGACAATACTGTATGTGGAGAGAGCGAAACGAACGAACGACGCACAATAGTGTCCTTGGACACTATTTCTGTCTATAATTATTATTTGTGCGTGTATTGATCGAATTATTAGCAGCAGCGATTGAAAACGGTTATGACATCGGTTTTGGTTCTTGGGAAACAGTTGTGGAAAACCGAATAAATGTTATTAGGTACATAATACGTGTTTATAAGGTACATTGGTTCAGGTTTATATCGGTGTCGATTTTTCGGAAGCAATATTATATCAATATTATATATTATATCGGTTCTAGAATTGAGCCGTTTATTTTGAAAGTGGCATAAGTCACTTTACCGTAATGAAAAGTGGTGATTTTTTTAATATTTATACGAAATTATTTATACTGAGAAAAATATCAGTATCCTGAGATAACAAATACAAGTAAATCTTCTCGAAAGTTAGCATCCATATTTTTAAACGTGTTAAAACGCAAACCCTTAAATATATCGACTTAAAAACAAAGTGACTTATGCCACTTTCAAAATAAACGGCTCAATTGTAGCTTTTCGGTTCTCGATTTTAGTTCTGCGATATCAACGAAAACGCGTTGCGACCGTAGCCACAGCTTTCTCAGTTGTACAAAATATTACAAAGCTGCGATATATCGCAGATATTGTCAGCTTAGACACAGGTATGTACGTAGAATCCGTACTAGAAATAGAACTGGAACAGTTATGGAACCGATATAATATCCGAAGTCGACGTAAGCCAGAACCGATGCACCTTGTTTTTCTTCGGTTTTTCGAGTTTTTCTTCGGTTCTCCGCAACCGTTCGATTTTTTTTATTTATTTGTGCGAACGAGACGAAGGAGAAACGCGAACCATCGAGGGAGAAGTACTGTACGAAAATTTCCGTTCGCAAGAAATTCAGTTATAAAGGGTTGTTCCTCTGGAAGAAGTTCGACAATTTCACCGGCGGGAGATGATCTAGGTGATCTCGATGTAAGTTTAGAACGAAAAGCTCGTGTCGTCGGAACCGCAGAAGCGTTCTACCTGTAGATCGTAGACGAGCCACCCCTAAGTTGTCCACCACCTTTCCGCCGAGGCACCCTGAACTTACGGGGTGGGTAGAAACCAGCGTTTGGTTTCCGGTGTTTGCTAATCGCTTAGCAGTTGGAACGATGTTTTCGAGACTGAGTTTTCGTAATGGGTGGCCTCTGATCGCGCCGCGTTCTAAAATGAACAGCGGACGGTCGTAAAGCGGTGTTCGCGCGAGAGTGGACGACCGTTGTAAAAATATCCGTGGATTTAGGACTGCCGCCGATTTAGTTAACTATACCGACCGGAGCAAATCATATTTCTGTTCCCGTCCGTTGGAACGGCGTTCGTTTGTCGTGGCCACAGAGAGAATCAGAGCAAAACAAGGAGAACGAAAAACAAACTGCGAATTCTCATGGCTGTAATTGTCCTATTAATGTCAACAACAGTGCTGGTAACGGTAATAAGTGGCGACGACGCTTTGTAAACACAGTGGCAGCGGTGGTGGACGCGAGGACACCCCTCGCGGGAACGCGAAATTAACACCGGGCCACTATTATTATGAAATTCTTGTCCGTTCTCTCTCTATCTCTCTCTCTCACTCACTCACTCTTTCTCTCTCTCTCTCTTTTTTGTTTTGTCTTCATGTGTCCTCTAATGCTGTTTAGATTGGATCATGGAAACTTGTGTAATACTTACAATGACGACACCACTGTCGGCGATGACAATCATGTTGGTACGGATTTATAAATTATTACAATAATGGTAAAATTAACGATAATACTTGTAATAATCATAATAACGATAGTAGCAGCAGTAGTAACGATGGCAATAATATTACAGTATTAATAATTACATTTAACGTCGTTAACAACGGCGTCGCGCGCAAAAACATGACTTCCGATGTGTGTGTGTGTCTCTCTCTCTCTTTGCGTGTATATATATGTCTCTCTATATATATGTATATATATATACATATATATAAATATATACGTGTATGTGTTTCTCCATGAGCGATGGAATATTCAAAAGATACATAAGTAATAAGTAATTAATTAATTAATGAATTAATAATAATTAATAATAAGGCGACGCCACCCAGGTAAGCTTTTTCCAATACCACCGAGAAAGTCTTTGTGGATCGTATGTTCGGAAGCCAATTAATAGCACGCATTGCCTCTGGATCCTATTATTACATAACTAGTAATCGAGCACATAATTTTTTTTCCTCGGTCCTACCGTAAAACGTTTTTTTTTGTTTTCCTCTCCGGTCACACACACGTGCGAAGTATGAGAAACAAAGGGGTTCTACACGCTCTGAAAAATCAAGCCAGCACACCCGCCGAAGCTCGCGGTCGAAGGAGCGCAAGAGAATGATTATGCCATCGGGGTCACGAGAATAAATGCGTCTCGAACATAAGTATACACAGTAGGAGAAACAAGTACTCATACACTCGGCGTGTTCTGCGCATGCTTTTTCCTTTCTTTTTTTTCTTTTCTTTTTCTCTTTTTTTTAATCGTCGTTTAAGTACTATATATTTTATTTTGTAACAACTAGGTTTAAAAATTCTTTCCATCAGTCTATAGAAGTTTGATAGAAAAACCACGTCCACGCGGATCACCGTCTGGCGCGGGTCGTCCTTTCTTTTTTTTCTTTCTTGTTTAATTTAGCAGGTATGCTGAGAACGGTGTTATAGTAATCGAAAGCAAGGTGTATAGAGCTGTATGAACACTGTTTTCGCTGACTGTATACAGAGCGCCCCCCCACCCAACGTCGTGTCGAACATTCAATATTCTTTTCGTTTCGGTACCTCCGTAGAACACCTGTGAACGACGCGCTACACGCTGTCTGTGTTTACAGTTTCATTCGGGGGTCGTTCGTTTTAAAAAAAGCTTTCCAGGGTCTCGCGCGAGGAGGTAACAATTCCGTTCGACATCCTATCTTCCGCCTCGAAACTAATGTACATTCGTCGCGATCGGAGGCTTTGCGTTGCCCGAGGTAAAATGAAAAGATCACGCCTAAACGAAACCATAAAACTTCACAGGCGAGATTCTACCAGGACACAGATGTATGTATAGAGGAAATATTTCAGCTAGTAAAGTCAGGTGGATGACCCTATGGTCTTTTTTTTTTTTACAGTTCTACCAAGCAAATTTGCGCTCATCGGTGCGCAGGACACGAGCGTTGCGTGAGCAGGAATATTAATACGTCGATATAAGGACGATCTCGTCTAAGTTTCCTTATCAGGTTTCTCCGGCTGCGATCCTTTGTCGGTTCCGTTACATGACAACGCATCTTCTTATAGTCTCCCTCGCCGAGTGTGCCACTTCCCAAAACCCAAATTTGCTCGGTAGAGTGACGTTTGCTTAGAATAAGGATAAACCTGAAGTAAAGGATAATGGCAGCTTGGTTTGTCACGCGATCAGGCTCTCGTTAGTCGATTCCCTCTTCAATGGAAGCGTACCGTGCCTCCGACAAGCCCCATCGTAGGATCACCGACCGGTAGCCGTTCTTCAAATCCTTAATTAATTCCTCGACGATCAAGCAAAACTAGGAACAGGTAGCCGCGCGTGTGTTTTGCTCGGAGATCACGTTTACCCTTATTCTGTATTACTGTTTAATCATACAAACGGTTATTATAATAGAAACGAATTTATTTATACGATCCGCCGCTTGTGTATATCAGCTCCGACGGGTATGCTGTATTCCGAATAGTTTCATTTATTATTTCTTATTCATCACTATCGCATTCTTTCATTCAAGCAAGCAGCATGCAACAAGCATGCAATGTAGATCACGCATACCTCTCTCTTTCTTTCACTCTCACTCTCACTCTCTCTCTCTTTTCCTCTTTCTCTCTCTTTCTCTTGCTCTCGTCCTCGCGACGTGTCGTTTACTCATCTTGTCTCTTCTGCTTTTGTCTCGTCGTTCTTCTATTCGGGTATTTCATCTCCTTTTACAGTACATTCCTGGTCCATCTCGTGCCCTCTTAAGGACGCATACAACACGTGGAGGTCGGCAGCACAAAAAAAAGAAACTTTTCTCTCTCTCTCTCTCTCTCTCTCTCTCTCTCTCTCTCTCACACACGGCCTCTCATTCACTTTCTCTCCCGCTCTTTCACACTCTCCGGCTTCAATTTGTCGGTCAAAGCAGTGTAGTCTCGAGAGTACGGACAGGCGAACATCTGATAAATGGAGTGAACACGATAGTAAGGCTTAATTTTAATTTGTTAGTAAATCGTAATATCCCGCACACGCGATGCTGCATTCTGTGCACAGACGAAGCCCGGTTTTTCACGCAGGTAATGCTCACGAACGACCGGCTTCTGCTCGTCACTCGAGCTTTATTTATTTATTTATATATGCGTATATATATATTCATATATATTTATATATATAGTTATATATATTTATATATATATAGTTGTATATATATATTTATATATTTTTATATATATATATTTATATATTCATATATATATTTATATATTTATATATAATATTTATATAATAATCTCGCTCACGCTCTCCCTTTCACTCTCTTTCGCGCGTTCTTTCTCTCTACCTTTCTCTCTCTCTCTCGCGTTTGTTTACTTGAAAACGGTTTTGTAACTCCGTCTTTGTTCTATTATTTCATGCTTTTATTATTCGTTTTCTTCAACGACGTGTCTTTCTCGTTTTCGGAACTTATGTGTTTTTTCCTTATCCAGCTGTCCATCCCTGCCTTCGAAACCTACCCTTTCGTCCCCCGTCCCATCCTTTTACTCTTTCTCTCTCTTTCTTTCTGTCTTGCTCTCTCACGCTCTCTCTCTCTCTTTCTCTCGCTCTCGCTCTCGCTCTCTCCCTCTCTCGCACACGTTTTTTTTTATCGCTGTACATCTATCATCTATATTGTCACTCCGGCAAATGATGCCCACGATCGTTCCCCGTTATCCGTTCTGCTATCCTGCATCGCTCTCGTTCGTTCGCCGCTTATTGGTCGCCGTTTCACTTTCTCTGTCTGACGTCGGAGTCCTTGTTGGGCGTTGGTTTGCTGCCAAACAAAATGGGTAACGATCAATTGGAATCCCTAAGCAGCTTGGGAACGGTGCAGGACGACTACGAGGCCACATGCGAGCGAGTCACGCGATTGGACAAGACGCGGGGGAATCGATATGCGACGACATTGTCGCTCTGCGGCGGTATGATAGGCGAAATTTCTGCTCGCCTAGCCGTTCGACTCGGGGGAGCATTATCGAGTCATCCTGAAATCGATGCTAACAAGCTGGACGTAAGAATAATTTTCATTTTCCATCGAGAACAACGGTCTACTGGGCACTCTGTGCGTTTCGCTGTTGGTTAAAAATAACTTTTACTTAGTAATATAATAAAACCATTAAATAATGAAATAATATTTACTCGAAATTTTAACTAGCTACAAAGCAAACGTTCTTCCAAGGCTGGAGCCGGGATCGAGTGAAAATATAAAATGCTTTTCATGGTATCAACAAAAATGCATCAACTTATCTGATATTAGTTTCATTAACCCCTTAATGCACAATTTTTTTGGAAAAGGTCGGCCAAAAAAATCAATTTTTTTTAATACAAAAGAACACAATTTAGTACGTTGTCTTGGCAAGAAAATTACAAAAATACAAAAATAATGGATATTTATACAATTGGTATGATTTCTAATTTTCAGAATATTACTATTATTATTATTATTATTATTGTTGTTATTATTATTATTATTATTATATTTTATTTTACATTATATTTTAGTAAAATATATATTGAAAAATGAGCGAATCAGTGTTATAGCTTACAATCCCATGTAAATGATAAATATCAATAAAACGATTGGTTTATTTTTGCTTTCACATTGTTATTTACAATTCTCGATTGCATTCGAGTGTGAAAAATTGTAGCAACATGAAGTACAACGCCGCTCGAATTATCTCGAGTGTGCACAGTTTGGCCAGTTTAGCGTGCTCGAGTTAACTCGAGCGTGCATGTTAAGGGGTTAATGAAGGGCGTTTCCTATTATTTCGTTACAACTATCGTGTCAAAAAGAAATTACTAAATAATAAATTGAACATCCTACAACAAATTATCTACCTTCATTGAATCTACACGATCTGAGAAAAAGAAGTTCCTAAATAGCAAGCGTATCTCTGGCAACGAGAATGCTCCCCGAAGTCGAACAAACGGTGGCCATTTCCGAGTTTGAAACTGGAAGAGAGCTGGATGGATATTTCATGGACCACGGGAAGTTTAAAGGACAGCGCAGTAGTCTCGACGAGGTTGTTGTTAATGTGTGCCGCGGTGGAACGGTCGGATAAATGGAACTGCGGTGTACTTGTGTCTCTCAGGCTTCCGTGGTTGCGTCAGCTGTTTCTAACAACCTTTTTCGGAGACGCCAGTAAAGGCGGAAACGACGGCAAGACTCCAAGGGGAACGACTTGTGGCAATAGCGGGACAAACTCGAGCGTGCAGGAGACGACGGTCGACGTTCTCCTGTCGGGAAGGACTGGGTCTGGACGTTTCTGTAACCGGGAAACTCTGGCGGTGGTGAAGTTACAGGAGGATCGACTGGTAGCTCGGACGATGGAAATGGCCCACGAAGAGGAACGTAATAATCCGTGACAACGGTGGGACTATCCGTGAGATCGAGGGGACTCTCCGTGAGATCGGGGGGACTATCAGTGTCATCAAGGAATTGTTTTGTTAATCGACGTGACTGGCTACAATGCTTGGCCGAAAAGTCTTGTCACATATTATAATATTGACTAAATTCTTCAAGTTCTATAAAATATAATTATGTCCTGCTAATTCCCTTGGTATTCTTATACTAATTCAAGTTCTATATAATTTAAGTATGAATGACTCTTCTATCTCTCTAGGTATTCTTATGGTGATGCAAATTCTATAAAATATAAGTATGTATGGTGCTGCTAACTCTATGGGTATTCTTATGCTAAATCAAGTTCTATAAAATATAATTATGCCCTGCTAATTCCCTTGGTATTCTTATACTAATTTAAGTTCTATACAATTTAAGTATTAATGACTCTTCTAAATCTCTAGATATCAATACGAATGCTATAAAATATAAGTATGTATAATCCTGCTAACTCTATGGGTATTCTTATGCTAAATCAAGTTCTATAAAATATAATTATGTCCTGCTAATTCCCTTGGTATTCTTATACTAATT